TATTTCTTCTCTTCTGAGTCTTTTTTAAAGATGATTATGCCCCTCAAGTGACTTCACAGTGACACCAATGAGGGAGATGAGGAACAAAGCAATGCACAATGATGGAAGGGAACAGATACCACAAAGAGAGCAGAAAGCTCCCTGGCACGCTGCCACCAGGAGCAAGAGGACCCTCAAGGATGGTGTTTACACCACAGTGCCTACACAACAAAAGCTGGGTCTGTGAGGTATGCGGTTGGCTTGCGCCAGCCTGCGGGATGCCTGGGATGTCTGCATTATGTAAGGTTCCTCCTGTACTGTGCTCTCTTCTGGGAGCCAGACAAACTCCCCATTCAATGGCTTGCAATCCAGGGTGGTTGTTTATAGATCTGCAAGAGCAGGCGACCTCCTCAGAGCTAAAAGGCAAGTCCTCTGCATGCTGGTGTTCCAGCTGCGGTTCACCTAACCCCACAATACAGACAATGTCTCCTCCCTAACATTAGAGCCACTGTACCCTTTCTCTGAACCGCTGCAGACTCAGATTCAAATCCTGGCTGTGTGATTTGCACAAGTGACTTGGTCCCAAACTTCGGTTTTCTCACCTGTCAACTGGAGATAAAGACACCTATCTTGAAAGGCTGCGCAGATGAAATGAAGTTGTATGTGTGTATCCATGGCTCCCTAGCGTTAAGTACTCGTATCTCAATCCTGAAATAATCTGTATTTTTCTTCTTTAAAGACAGGGTCTGGCTCTGTCACCCAGGATGGAGTACGGAGGGTGTGATCATGGCTCACTGCAGCCTTGAACTCCTGGGCTCAAGCAATCCTCCCACCTCAGCCTGCCAAGTAGCTGGGACTCTAGGTGTGCCACCACAACTGGCTAATTGTTTTTTCTAGATTTGGGGTTTCACTATGTTGCGAGGCTGGTCTTGAATTCCTAGGCACAAGCAATCCTGCTTTGCCCTACCAAAGTGTTACAATAACAGGTGTGAGCTACTGTGCCCAGCCCTGTCCCTGTACTTTTAAGTTATTCGTGTATTTATAGTGTCTCCCCACGTAGACTATGAAGGAATCCTGCCATTTCATTTTTACTATCTACTGTATGAGCTAAGTGCATAGTGGGTTCACAAAATTATCTGTGGCATGGGCTACTGAATGAGTAGATCATTTCCCCACGTCCAAGAATATCTGGTACTGTTTCCTGAGGAAATGACCCATGGGTTCTGAAGACAGTTGGTGTCCCCTTTTCCTTCAGCTCTTTACACTACGTCTTCCAAACATACCCCTTGCCATTTCAAATGCCCTTAAGAATTCTCATGAGCCAAGTTATCCATTCATTTGCTCATTTCTTGAGTGTATTTCTCCAGTACATAAACATTTTTTTAGTACATATTATCTGACAAATATAAGAGGCACTGTGGATACACAGCTGGATGTAGAAATGGCTACGACACAATTCTTGCCTACCCTTGAAGAAACTGGAGGAAGTTAACTGTCTTAGTAATGTTGTATTGCCAGGAAGGAATATCTGAGGCTGGGGAATTTACAAAGAAAAGAGGTTCATCTGGCTTACAGTTCTACAGGCTCTAAAGGAAGCATGGCCCTGGCATCCGCTTGTGGTGAGGGTCTCAGGCTGCTTCCACTCACGGCAGAAAGTGAGGGGAGCCAGCGTGTGCAGAGATCACGTGGCAAGAGAAGAAGCAAGGTAGGGTGAGGTACCAGGCTCTTTTTAGAAATGAGCTCCTGTGAGAACCAACTCATCACTCACCCCACTGCAGGGAGGACAGTACTCTACTCAAGAGGGCTCCACCTCCATGAGCCACACACCTCTCATTAGGCCCCACCTCCAACACTGGGGATCAAATCTCAGCATGAGGTTTGGGGAGAGAAACATCCAAACTACACTAGAAATAACACAGGAGCAGCAACACTCGAAATAATACAGATGAGCGTGTATGTAAATCCTATGGGAAAGGAAGAAGCCATAATTCAGCCCCAGAACAGGATTCTGAAATTTTTAAAATATACATTGCCTTTGAGATAGATCTTCAATGCACTTAACTTTGTTGAAACATCAGGCAAAAAGGCAACTCCAACCTGGTCTGCTACAAAACAGGTCGACATTTATTAAAGCAAAGAACATTCCGAGAAACCTCAGGACTGCCAGGTCTTTGTCAGTGGCTTTTCTCTCATTTTGAGCCATGCACACTGCACAATAAAATAATTTTCTTACAACTAAAATTTGGAATTCTGACCATTCGCAGACATATTCACAACATGACATGTAAGTACTTAGCACTAGACTAGAAGTTGAGCAGAAAAACAAAAGCTAAAAAGAAAGAGGAGTCTTAAGAGCTCCCTGCAGATTCCTCTCAGGGAACAGGTTCTGGAGAAAAGACGTGCCGCAACCCGAGGTGAAGCTGATGGGGAAATGCGCAGGGAAGTGGGACGGCTGTAGGTTCACGATCAAAGAAACAGACACTCATCAAACTACAGACTTCCCAAATGCAAATTTGGGGAAGCCCAGGGCAGGAGGATAAGACCTACGTGTACGGACACTGGATAGCCACAACCGACACTCTGTTGTGATCTCTTCAGGGTCTGCCCTACAATTTCATGTTAATACAGAACACCCAGTCCAGAGAGATTTGGGAAACCTACAAGGGTCTCGTGCATGGACCACACGGTCAGAAAAGCCTCTTATCTAGAGACAGAGGTACTACAAATATCGTAAACAATTTTCTCAAGTTAACACTTTATTCCTACTTCTCTAAGGCTTGTTATTTTTCAGTCCCCCACTCCCCTCCACTCTTTATTCTTGTCACCAACTCAACCCTCTTCTGATACACAGAGCAGAAATACAGGCTTCCTGAAGACGAGGCCTTATTTGTCTTTGTATCCTATCCCCCTTTCCTGCTAGTCTAGCTGAGGAACCGGCACTCAGCAGACCCTCAATCAAAGTTCATTCAATATTCAGCCACAGGGCAAGCAAAGAGAAACACTGAGGAAATGGACCCTGGAGAATCACATGGCTTACAGATTCTCCCCTAACTATCAAGTCTCCTGGTGCTGACAGACACAGACCCACTCCACGTGATCGGCTCAAAATACTAAAGATCCACGAACATGCCTTGCAGCTTCCTCCCAAACTATACCCCTTTCTCTGAGACCTGCGTGCCAAGAAGGCAGCGCATGGAAACCTTAAACCTTGCTGTGAGCCCTGGCCACATCAATGGTGCAAAAGTAGCCCCTGTCATGACCTGTCAAGGGGAAACCTGAGCTGCAAGAGTAACCGGAGACTCAGGCAGCTGACCTGCTTACCATCCTTTAGTAGAGAGTTTAAACCAACTGTAACTGGGCAGTACTTGACAACCAACTTCCCTAACGAGACCAAGAGTTAGGAGAGCTAACATACAGCACGCTCAGGTCAGGGGCTGGGGAAGGCGTGTGCCGCTATTGCACTGGGTCGGAGAACACAGAGTGGCTTTGAAGGCCCTGTTCTCCCTCTGGGCACCCTTGGGAGTGCAGGTTCCACCCTCCCAGACCAAGGCTCTTATACACTTCCTGGGGACTCTCAAGGACACCTGGCCTTGTCCCCGGGAATACTTGTTTTAAAGATTTTGATGGGTGGTCCAGGTAGAAGCTAGTGAAATAAAAGCTTTCCCAATGATTGGTGATGCCACCTTGTTGTGCTGTGTGCATCCCTGCAGTTGGGGAAAGGAAGGGGCAGAGGTCAAACTTACCCATGGGTTGGTCAAGGAGAAGCCGGGATAGGACAAAGAAGGGAGCCCTGATGGATAAACCCTGTTTGATTGGTAAGGATAACCGGAGTCAAGTAATTAATGTTCACCAAACTCCTACTGTGTGCCAGGTACCACACTGGAATACAAAGGTAAGAACAAGTGAACAGCCCTGAAAAACCTCATAAAGGTCACACTTTATAACCAATGTACATTTTCTTTTTCATTTAGAATGTTATTAATTTTGTCCCAACACAGCTTCTGAAGAGCAAGAAAGAATGGAAGGGAGAGAAGGAATAATTGAGAGAAAGTGAAAGAAGTCAGGCAGGACATGGGAAAGGACGGAGGGAGAGTTGCGGGCATTAAATGTGAGCATCCTTGCAAAGGATGAGTCAATCTCTGGCCCACAGTAAGTGCTCAAAAAATGTTAGTCATTATATTCATTGTTAGAGAGCCTCTAATTGTGTCACCCTAACCGCAATGCACACTTGCCATACAGCAGGCAGTATTCTAAGGGCTTATCACACTGTAATTCTTTCAGCACTCACAACCCTGTGAGATATTACAAATGAGAAAACTGGTGTACGACGAGATTCTGTAAACTGTAAACTACCCAGTCACATAACTGCCAAGTCAGAGAGCTGAGACTCAAGCCCAGACAGTCTGACTTCAGAGCTCCGCTTCTCACTGATTTCACCTGTGGTTCTTAAAGTGTGGTCTCTGGAACCGGGACCCTCTCAGATTTGCAAATTCTTTGTCCCACCCCAGTCCTACCGAATCAGAAACTCAGAGAAGGGCCCAGCAACTGTTTCTAAAAGACCTTGAGGTGATTCTGAGGAACAGCAGGGTTTGAGCACCATTACATTAATAACTTACAATGGCTAAGTTAAGGCAGACAAGAAAACACCACTTCCTCCCCAGAACTGGCCTCACCTGGCAATGAGCAAAGGTCCAAATATTTGGGTTGTCCATTTCTCTAAGTCTAGGGCCTGGCCTACAACTGGGGCTTGGGTGAGCAACTTCAATTCGCTTAATTTTCAGAGGAATCAATGTGGCTTCTCTGACTTTATTCTTTGACATAGAAAGGTTAGAAGAGGCCTTGAATATTCTTAGAATGGTTTAACTCCTTCATGACATCTGAACACGAGTTAGCAGATTTAATAGGCTGCACTGTCCCAAAATATCCAACATTAGATTAAAAATCAAACTTAAAAGAAAGCTCTGGCTTCCAATGTGTTAATTTAACTTCCAACAATGCCTAGGAGGTAAATTTGTCGGTACCTTTTGCTGGACTTAATTCAGTTATTCAAAGCGATTACCCAGTTGGTGGATTATCTGAGCCTCCTGCTTCTCCTCCCTGGAGCTGCTCGCCTTTTGGCCATTTCACTGTTCATTAGCACCTCGACTGAGGATAAAAGGTGAGGAAACTCAAACCAGTCGATTTTTCTCCTTGTTAGCAGTTCTGATAAAGACTTGGTGGGAGAAGAATTATTACTGGCTAAAACAAGACACAGGGATTATCTATGTCTTCAATTTTCCATGCTCTCCCAGCCCCTAATTATCAAATACAGTCAAGTCAGCCTAACTTTATAGTGACAGCCCAGTCTGCAAGGGAACAGAAGCATAATGTTAAAATTCTAGAATTTCCATAGAGGTAACCTAAGATACCTAAAAGGCCAGGGTGATGGACAACTTTGATCACAGGTGAAAAGGCTCAAAAGTGATCCCACAGCATTTTAACAGCTGACTTTTCCCACCACTCCAACTTTCTATGACCTAACTGAATATGTACATATTAATTTTTACTCTCATAAGAAAACTAGTGTTCATTAGGCACCTATTATATGCTAGGCTGCCAGACCTTCTGCTGGATATCTTAGAAATAGTATTTTGCTTAATTCTAGCACAATTGGGGAAATTTTTCTTTTCCGGCTTTTATTTTAGACATAGGGTTTACGTGTGCAGGTTTGTTACATGGGTATCTTACATCCAGGTAGTGAGCACAGTACCCAAAAGGTGGTTTCTGCCTCATCACCCCGCCTTCCTCCTCCCTCTCGCAGTCTACAGCGTCTATTGCTCCCATGTTTATGTTCATGCGTGCTCGACGTGTGCCCATTTATCAGTGAGAACATGCAGTATCTGGCTTTCTGTTCCTGCATTCATTTGCTTGGATTATGGTTTCCAGCTCTTCCAGTATGGTTACCCATGTTGCTGTAAAGGACATGATTTCATTCCTTTTTATGGCTGCATAGTATTCCATGGTGTGTATGTACCCAATTAAAACAAATCCAATCCACTGTTGATGGGCACCTCAGTTGATTTCATGTCTTTGATTCTGTGAACAGCACGGCAGTGAACATTCAAGTGTATGTGTCTTTTTGGTATAATGATCTATTTTTCCTCTATTTACTGGATATACACCCGGTAATGGGATTGCCGGATTGAATGGTAGCTCTGTTTTAAGTTGAGAAATCTCCGAACTTCTTTCTACGATGACTGGACTAAGTTACATTTCTGCCAATAGTGTGTAAGTGTCCCCTTTTCTTCACAGCCTCACCAGCATGTTGTTTTTTGACTTTTTGATAAGAGCCACTCTGACTGGTGTGAGAAAGTACGTTGCTGTGGCTTTGATTTGCATTTTCTGATGGTTAGTGATGATGAGCATTTTTTCCTATGTTTATTGGCTGCTTGTATGTCTTCTTTTAAGAGGTATCTGTTCATGCCCTTTGCTTGTTTTTTTTAATAGTTTGTTTTTTGGTTTTTGTTTTTTTTTTCGCCTGTTAAGTTCCTTATAGATTCTGGATATTAGACCTTTGTTGGATGAATAGTTGCAAATATTTTCTCCCATTCTGTAAGTTGCTGTTTGTCGATAGTTTCTTTTGCTGCGCAGAAGCTCTTTAGTTTCACTAGTTCCCACCTGTCGATTTTTTGTTTTTGTTGCAATTGCTTTTGGGGGCTTAGCCAAAAATTCTTTGCCACGGCTAATGTCAGGAAGGGTGTTTCCTATGTTTTCTTCTAGGATTTTTATAGTTTGAGGCCTTAGATTTTGACTTAATCCATCTTGAGTTAATTTTCTTATATGGTGAAAGGTAAGAATCCAGTTTTGTTCTACCGCATATGGCTAGCCAACTATCCCAGCACCATTTATGAATATGGAGTCCTTTACCCCATTGCTTGTTTTTGTTGGCCTTGAGTAAGAAGTATTTATCCTGATTTTACAGACAGGGAAACTGAGGCTAGAGGAATTTAAATCTGAATTCATCAATGTCAGAGCTAAGAGCTCAACACAGAGTTGCCTTTGCCTCTCCCTAAAAACTATGCTGTTTCCACCATACAACGCAGCCTCAATGGTTTCTTACTTCCATCCAGAACTGTCTTTGACAGGACTCTCAAGGCTTATTAGGGAAATGACTGTGCTGACGACTCTTTGTGACTTTTAAAGATTAAGGCTGTGCCTGAACATGCTAATAGCATCCTCAGAAGCCCCTCAGAAGACATCTCGTATCTTCCGATATCAACTCCTTCCCCTTCTGTAATCACTGATACCAATAACCCACAGCTTCTCATCCTTTGCCAAATCTGTATGAATGGCCACCAGTCCTGTTTACAGCTTCTGATTTGTGGGAGACCAGGCATTTCCTGCATGGTGGGAGCCTGAGGCCACAGTGGGAGAGGGGGTGGTAAAAGATGCCTTTCCTTCCCAGATGACTCAGAGCCAATGACTGTGCCAGAGCCCGGAGAGCAGAAGCCCGTGCCCTTGGCATCACCACAGGACCGCTTCCTATCTCAGTGAGGGAAATGGCCAAAAGAGCCAGTGTGAGGGAAGAGGAAGGAAGGAGGCAGAGGCTCTGTTAACAGTCCTCATCCCTGCCTTCCACTCCCGCTTCTTTCCTGCCCCTTGCGCTAGACCCGCCCCCCTTGCTGGATTTTAATATATGGACTTGCCTCTCTCAGACTCAAGCCTGGCTCTGCCCTAGCCCCCCCCAAAGAAGCCACAACCCATCAAGTTCCTCCCCGGGAGAGACAACATGGCCTCTGGTCTTGGCCAGAGATAAATGCATCTTCCTTCAGAGCCCTGTGAAATTACAAACTGGTTCACTTTATTACTTATCAGCCAGTCCTTCCTGGCCAACCCTGCTGAGTGAAAGACAGGCTCGTGTGACTGCATCTCAGTGCAGGAAGATGCCACAGGAGCTTGTCCTTCAGGGAAGAAAATCTCCTGATGTCTACACAGAGTGCCCACTGTGTCTACTGCATGCCAGATCTAAAAGATCAAGATCTTTCGTGGATCTACACTTGTTGGTATTTTTAATATGCATGATATTGCACAAAGAGACTGTAAGATAACTTGGGGCAAGGGCCATATTTCCTTTACCAAAGGACATCAATATGATGCTAGATTTCCAGGCAGTGCCTCCTGACTTGAGATGCAGGCCTCCTGCGTGGAGCAAATGGATTCCAGACTCCAGTCTATGGCTCCCCGTGGCTCAGGCTTCAGCTTCCCTCTCCCCAGCGGCCTCACTAACAGGGTGGCAGCTTAGCCAGTCCATGGGCAGCTTCAGCAGCTTTGATTCGATCTGGTCTGCTTCCAGTCCTGGAGATGCCAGAGAAATCACACTGATTACCCTAACAGACTGGATGAAACACTAAACACATACATTCTGCACAGCCTCAACAACGTCAGGAAAGAGAGAGAACCCAGACTCCGGGTAATGCTGTCTGAATACCTCCTTCTCAATCACACATCAGGGATCTGCCATCAGCCCTCACGGTGACTGGTCTGCAAGTCTGGCAGCACTAAACCAACTCCTGCTTACTCTAAAATACACTATTGAGCACCGGGGTCTGGCCTCGTGAGTGTGCAACCTGTGACCTTATCAGTCATACAGGGACCCTGTGCTTGTCTGAGAATTTTTTTGAGACAAGGTCTCACTCTGTCACCCTGGCTGCCTCCTGGGCTTAAGCAATCCTCCCATCTCAGCTTCTCAAGTAATTAGGACTACATGCACACACCACAGCCCCAGCTAATTTTTTTAATTTTAATTTTTTTTATTTATTGTTTTTCGAGACAGAGCTTCCCTCTTGTTACCCAGGCTGGAGTGCAATGGCGCGATCTCGGCTCACCGCAACCTCCACCTCCTGAGTTCAAGCAATTCTCCTGCCTCAGCCTCCCAAGTAGATGGGACTACAGGCATGCGCCACTATGCCCAGCTAAATTTTTAGTAGAGACAGGGTTTCATCATGTTGCCCAGGCTTGTCTCAAACTCCTGAGCTCAAGCAATCCGCCTGCCGCGGCCTCCCAAAGAGCTGGGATTACAGGAGTGTGCCACCGCACCTGGCCAACATGGGTTTGTTTTAATGTTCTGCTGTGGTTATCTTGAAATTCTTCGTAATTTTTGAACAAGGGGCCCTATATCTACATTCTGCACCAGGTCCCACCAGTTACAGAGCCAGTCCTGCCGAACACTAACTCCATTCAGTGACTTCAAGACATCCTGTAAGTCTGGGCCAAAAGAAGTGGGGTGTGGTCAGGCAGGGGACGAGGCTTTGGGCTGAGGCGTGGGGGCTGCTTAGCACAGGGGAGCTCAGGGTTCCTGGAATGCTGAAAGGGACCAGCATGGACCAAGGAACAGGAAAGGGGCTCTCAAATGCACACAAAAAATACTGCCCGCTTTGGACCACCAGTTTTTAGAAGTTTCAGGAACTTCCCAAATCTACTTCAAATTTTTATTACGGGCCTTCTCTCTCTTTCTGCTTTACACAAAATCTGACTTGCCCCCCATGTTTCGTAGAAGGTTGTTTTAAAAGGTGGCATTCTATTTGTCTATTCTTTTCAGTTCAAAAGAAATGTGCGTGAACTCCACTTCCAGGCTGTTAATTCTGTCGAAAGTCCAGGCCCACTCAGCTAGAGAATGGGTTGCTGCAGCGAGTAGCTGGAGGTCAGATACCACTCATCAGGCCAAGGGGGAGGGACAATCAGGGGACACTCACAGTGTAGAGTCTTTCTGGGTACAAAGTTCTCAATGATCATCAACAACAGCAAACTATAGGAAAAATGTCCCACGGTGTATTTCCTAAGAAATGGCCTTGGGAAAGCAGTCTCAAGCTTTTTCAAAACGAGTCACATGAAAGACGTTGCTTCTTTGAATGCTTCAGTAACTGTCTTGTGATCACTTGCAGGCACACGAGATCAAACCTTTTATTAACTGTTCTCAGACATGACGACTAGAGATGGACGGATGTTCCTTACTCACACACACACATGTGAATGCACACACGCATACACACACCTGTACACAAGTCCCGCAGCGTTACTGCATTACACTATGGGGAAAAGCAGTGGCCAAAAAGACATTTATTTCTTTATTTAGGATAAATAAATACTCCACAGCACTCCTGCTTGTTACTCCAGTCTTGTCTTCATCCCTGTGCACAGCCTGTCCTCCAGAACCATGAAATGAGCAGGAAGCAGGGATGTTTTATGAGCTCTGTGTCACTTAGCGCCACCTGTGCATCCTAATAGGCGATGAAATAAGGGAGCCGCAGCAACTGCCATTGAGGCTGCAAATGTGGCACCCTCGACTCCAGGTTTGTCTACTCTTGGGAAGGAAGAGCTGGTTGCCTGCTTTTTGCAAAAGGAAGAAAATGGAACTCAGCAGATGCTGTTGTGTTTGGAGTGGCAGAGGAACATGAACATATACGATGCAGGAAGGGATAGGACATGGGCAAAATAAAGCTCTCCCTGAGGCTCAGGGGAAGCCTCTATCTGTGTGCACAGAAGGCCCGAAGCACCTCAGCATCCCTTGCTGAAATACGTGCTTGGATCAGCGCTTGCTGGTTACCATGCTGTGCTCTGACCCTTGGAATCAAAATCTACCTAATGATTTTAGATGTAAGAGATAAGGAGTCTTTGCCTGCTTAGAAGACTGGGAGAAGTGGCTGAGCAGTTTGTGGACTGTGTACAACTGCTTCAAGGCCACAACGGTGGTCTTGGCACTGGATAACATGAACATGGAGGTGAACCACACAGATGTGGGATGCAATAAGCACAACCTACTACAGCATCTCAGATGACTATTTCACTCAGCATGTGAAAGAAAAATCACATAATTTTAGAGCTGCAAGGGAAAAGAAGGATGCTCTTGTTTGGGTCCCCTATTTCGGAGATAGAGAAATGCAGATGTCTAAGGCAGTCCAGCTGCAGCTCTGGAGAATGAGTCTTCCGAAGCGTCCTCGGAGCACTGCTAGAACAGAGGACAAAAGAATGGAACTAGTCCTGCTCTGCCCACATCACCAATTTCAGCCAAAAGTGAACCAACTTCCACCAAATACCACTACGAATGCCAGTGCAGAAACTGAAGCAGGATGATGGATCCTACTGGTTCAGGTCAACTCACCTGGGAGGCATAAATCACTCCCAGTTCACCAGATCACAGCCCTGATCGTCACATATTTGGTTCCGAATGATCTTAAACACAAGGGTAAGAAGCAAGATGTTGCTTTCTTCAACTTTTCAGTATCAGATCCAGAGTTCTCAGCAAGTTCTCTTTCACCCAGATTGCAAGCTTAACATCATCAGGTCAAAGACACTTCTTCCCTCGGCTCTCCTATTTATGTGAAAAAAGAATTGCTAAATACTGATTGATTATTATAAGAAACCTGATGGAAATCCTTTGATTTGGGTTAGTTTTCCTTTATCCCCTCAATTTAGCTATTTTAAGGAACGCAAAGCCTTTACATGCAAAGGTCACATTGTGAAACTGTGACCAACGTAACGGAGAGAAATCGGCTGTCATAAATCCTCAATTTACGATTATCAAAGAAAACAAAACTGCCTCCAGACACAAGGAAAACAATGCGTGACCTCTAGAAGTCCGACTCTTCATCAGCAGCACCAGGGAGTACTGAACAGGAAGGTAGCAGGGCAGAGCAGTAAACGGCACAGCGCAGCTGGGACACACCTGGGTTGGATCCCAGCTGTACCACTTACTAGCTGTATAACCTTAGGTGAGTTACCGCCTTGAGTTCTGGGTTTTCTCATCTCTAAAATAAAACATAACATCCTTATTTCATAAGGATTGAAGGTGATAATGAGTATTTAAACCACCTGGCACTCAGCGTCTATCTAGCAATGGTGACTTCAAGCTCCATTGCTGGTTCTGATGATCATTTCATACCTTGGCTTCCTTCTCTTCATCTTCAAAGCAAAGTGCTCAAAATAAATAATCACTAGGGTCCATCTCCACTCAAAGCTCTAAGAAAAGCTCTAAGAAAAAATTTACCAACCAAATGGAGAGCAAAAATAATAAATAAATAAACAAAAAGCAGGAGTTGCAATTCTCACATTTGATAAAATAGATTTCAAAGCAACAAAGATACAGTGATAAAAGGATCAATGCAACAATAAGAGATCTTAAAACCCAGATACGTAAGACCCATAACGAGATTTAGACTCAACGAGACAGAAAATTAATAAGAATATCCAGGACTTCAACTCAGATCCAGAACAAGTAAACTCAATAAGTATTTATAGAGTTCTCCATTTTAAATACACAAAATATTGATCGGCCATTATTAATACCCATTTTTAGAATGAAGCAATATTCCTGTTGTCTCTCCCTCTTTTTCTTCCTCTTTCTTCCTCTCCTTCTCTCCTTTTGTTACTTTTCAACATCCTAGTTCCTCACCTCTACCAAAAAAAAAAACAAAGAATGTTCAACTCTTCACTAATCCAGTCTATCTGAAAGCCAGTGAAAGAGAAACAGCCTGTATTTCCGTAATACCACACAGTTTTCAGAGTATATGCTCAAAAACTATCGAATTTGATGTCATCCCAAAAATTCTTGCTCATTTAGGTTAAATAAAAAAGATATAGTTTTCTACATTTGAAAAACCTCAAGGCTATCTCCACGTTTTGGATCTTACTGCCCCTGCCACGGCTTTGTCATATAACTTGGGTATTATCTTTAATCATCTCAAAACTGGGTGTGATGGGTTCACGGTTTCCCTTCTGCAATCCACCTTCCATGACTGTCAGTCATCTCCCCAAAACACAGAACTCACCATACTTCAACCCTTTCACTGCCTTCTGTCTTTGTGATTTCCAAAGCTCACAAGCATGCCTCCTCCTCACCTTGTGTTCCAGCCACTCACGTACCCAGCTCACATGCCTTTGCCCTTCTTACCAGGAGGCTTCTCCCACCCCTCAATCTGAAATAAGTCACTTACTCTAGACCTTCCACACCACCTAGTCTAGTTGTCTGTGGAGTACTGTAAGTATCTTACATCACTGACCTTTTTTTTTTTGCCCCAAGGTATGATTACTTACCTAAAA